CTATACCTGCTGCTGCTTTTTCAAATCATCTGCGCAGCGCTCGGAGAGGTCTGATCCCCCACCCCTCGGGCCAAACGCCTTGCAGCCACAAGCGGATTCAAGCCCCCGTTTGGAGCTGACGCCTCTGTCTTACCCGTCCCGGAGGACGGAGCCTGCGGAGTTGCTGTGAAGCAGGGAAGGGGGGAGAGGGCCGGAGAGCACCCAGTGAGCGCAATAAACGGGGCCGGGGGAGCAAGCCCTCACGCCTGGAGCCATTTTCCTAAAGCGCTTCCCGCGGCAGGAGAGAGCCCCGTGTGTCTGGCGGGGGTAGGGAGCACTTGGGGTCGTCTAAATACAGTTGTCAATGGCAGAGAAGCCCTTGGGTTTTTTTATTGCTTTTGTTTTTCTTTTTGGTGACAAAGGAGCGTGAGGCGAAATCAGGACTTTACAACACAATCCAACTTGAACGCGAAAGACACCCCACGGTTGAAAAGGCACATTTGAAAGGGACGGTCTGCTTCTTACGCGGTCAGCACTTAATATGCAATAGCCATTAATATCTGTTAATTGCATCTCCAGCAGAGGTTTGGGGAATCTTGGAACCGTGTCAGGAAGGATCGCTGGCTTTTCAAGAATAACGCTATGCACCAAACCGGCCCCATTTAATCCTATTATTAAAACAACACCCCGGTCCCCCCAGCCTAACTCCCGAGTGAGATCAGCGAGGACTTGTCCTCGAAACTTCCCCACACAAGGCAGCCGAGAGCTCCCTTGCTTGGACCCTGCTGACCCTCGCTAGGAAATCAAAGCTCTTCTCCCGAAAATACCCAGGCTTTCAGCGACGCTTAAGACAAAAGTTCACGTGCTTTTTTGTTTGGTTCCCGTTTTAAGCTCGAATCCGCGCCCTCCCCCAGAAGTTTCCAACGTGGTAACGCGGCTGCTAAACGGATCATTTCAAGCTGGTTCTGCAGCCCCAGGTCGTTACCTTTAGGCGGGATATTTTTTATTCCTCTTCTAACAGTGTCACGTCAAATAAGCAGCTACAAGCTGCCTGCAAGGCTGCCCGCCTCGCTGCTCCGCTAACATGGCTGGACCTCGCAGCCTGGCGAGCGGGATAACAAATGACTAGTCCCGACAAACGAGCCTCAGCGCCTTCGTTCTGCGACTTTGCCAATACTTCGCCGCCTGGATATCGATACTGCACTAGCGACTGCAGTTGTCCCCGCTGCTCATACATACAGGAAACCAGGGGATACTTTTCGTAACCTCATTAAAAAATCGCAGCCATTAAGAACCAAAATCTTAAGTGCGTGGGTAAAAATCGGGCAGCGCCGTTTGGGTACAGATCGATTCCTTTGAACTGAGGCTCCAGCGCATTCAGGGGACGGCGGCGAATGTTGTTTTTAATCGCTTTTTTCCCCCAGCTGAACTTTTATTTGGCTTCTGACAACAATAGCGGGCTGCAAACAGACCTCTCGGAGCGCCCAATGAATAGGCTCTTTTCTAGCCCGGATTTTCCCCCCCGCCACAAAAAACAACCAGTAGCTCCGTTTCTTAATTGGGTTGTTCCTGGCCCTCGCTCATTCAGGTGTTCGCGAGGAATTTGTTTATTAGCCTTTGACAAACAGCTCTTCCTGATAATCGCCTCATGGGGCTGGCTTCAGAAGGAGGGGAGGGATGGGGGGG